CTGGAGAAGGGTCTAGGCCCGAAACGTCAGCCTTCCTGCTCCTCTGATGCTGCTTGGCCTGCTGTGTTCGTCCAGCTCTACACCTTGCTATCTCAGATTCTCCAGCATCTGCAGTTCCTACTATCTCTCTCCAACCTATCTAGCCTTTGTTTATAACTCAAACCTTCCATACTCGGCAACATCCTGGTAAATTTCTTCTGAACCCAGTCCAGCTTGATAATGTCCTTCCTATAACTAGGCAACCAGAACTGGACACAGTATTCCAGATGAGGCCTTTCCAATATCCTGTACAACCTCAACATAACGTCCCAACTCCTATACTCAAAGGACTGAGCAATGAAGGCAAGCATGCCAGATGCCTTTTTAATCACCGTGTCTATATGTGATGCAAACTTTAAAGAATTATGTACCTGCACCCCTAGGCCTCTCTGTTCTACAACACTACTCAAGGCCCTTTCATTAATTGTATGAACTCTATCCTTGTTTCTTGTACCAAAATGCCGCTACACTCTTAATCAATATAAAGAGATTAAATATTTATGTATCGGTTCTTGCTAGTACCAGTACATGCAGGGTTAAAATTAAACAATTTCTTCAGGATGCATAGAATTTGCATGACTGTCTATTAAGGATATCATCACATATATACTTTGTTCATATGAAACAAGATAAAATTATTAGACCTATTTTGTCCAAAGTTACATCTCTTTTATGGTGAATTTACGTGAATTTATTTCATTAAAGCCTCCATTTTTTAAAACTTATGTTCTGTATTAAAGGAAAAGAAAATCAAGCATATAGATGTTGAAGAAGTACACAAACGGCAAATCAAAGTCAAATCAAACCTGTTTCTCACCGCAATCCATTACAGAGACTGAAGTTCAGAGAAGTTTCTATTTAATTGACATCTTCCAGTTTCTTTTCTGTGGACTGCAGAAGCTATTTTAGTTTTAATTTCTGAGGCATTAACCTTTCACAGATCTCATGCCCTAAACTGTGTCAGTTCTAATAATACGACTTCTATACAATCTATCCTGGCTTAGAAACACGACAGATTATGAAATACTTGTTGTGGTGACTGGACCTCTGAACTGATTATTACTTTTATTTTTTCTGAGCTGAACTGAAGAAGTTATTCTTCTGTTCCGAAGTAAAAACAATACTAATGACTTTGTTCTGTTTACTCTGCTTGATATAAACTCACTAGTTATGAACATCTTATCCATTAATACTATAAGAGTTCTGTCAAGTACTTGTCATCATGTGCTTTCTTAGCAACAATGTATTTAGGTCACCGTATTAGAATAACTCCTTGACCTTTCTAAAAAAAAGTCTTCATAGATTTGACCAAACCCTTTGCCTGTATTTTAAAATCTAACTTCCAAATATGATAATGTACGCCTTTCATCAATCTCGCAGTATTGACTTAGATACAGGTAGCGAAAGATAGTTTTTTTTTGATGCAAAATTCACTTTCAAAAATGCTCTGTGCTGATACATGGGAAATATTGAAAACAAAATCTTGGTTTTACATTGCATCTTTCACATTCAATGGATGTTTCACAGCTAGTGAATTCATTTTGAAGTGTAGTGTTATAACAAAGGCAAATATGGCAGTCAGTTTGCACAAAAAAATTCCCACAAATAGAAATCACATGGATGGCAATGGTTTTTTGATATTATTGAGTGTAAAGATCTGAAATGTTACATTTAATCATTGACATCATTTAATTAACTCATCCCTGATCAATAAGTATTTTGGCAAACAAATTAGTTGCATCGATAGAACTAGAGATTCTGTAGTTAATGACAGTTCTGCAGTGAAAACTATTAATTTTCCATTTCCCGCTGTAGCAGTCAAATGAAGCTTTATTATAATTGGGACTAATCAATTCCAAATGTTGGATTACCAATATAAACAGTTGGTATGGAATGTATTATTGAAATTCATTAAAGACTACTGTTTGCAATATTGTTACTATAACTAACATATTTTGAAAATGTTAATGATGTAAAAATCAAATTTAATACCAGTGCTAAACAATGCAATCATTATTGGAATGCAGGTGCTGTTAATGCCTGTATCAATTTTAGAATATTGACCACTATTCTACTACTTCATAGCTTTCATGAGAAATGAGGACATGGAACAAATGTATTAGAAAATATGTTCGGACTGTTCGATACTGTCAAATTTTGAATTGCATCAATGAACCTATTACTTATAGCATCCTGCACCCAATTTAGCTTGGGCATTTGTCTACACTTCAAGAGTAATTTATTGAATGTTGAAAAACTTTGGATGTCCTGAGGGTGTTATGACACAATATATATGTATATTTTTGTCACTGTTTTTGTGGTTATCCTCCATTCCTACGTGAATGTGCCTTGGTTAATTATTGAAAATATAATGTGGAATTTAATCAAGTCACTATCACTATTGGTCACAATATGCAGCTTAATTGACTTGCTTTGACCTGTACTTGCTTCAGTTTTTGATGTTATTAAAAAGAATGAAGTTTTAATACTGGATGTAGCTCTTTGGCTTACATTGTGTTGTTTAATGTAAATCTTTAATATTTTTTCTTCTTTTACTTAAGCAACATCATCAAGGACTGTTCAGGAGACAAATGAAGAATTTAAAAATATGACTGGCACCATTCAGCTGGGGCGCAAGTTGATTACAAAGTATAATCGTCGAGAGTTGACTGACAAGCTGCTTATTTTCCTAGCTTTGGCTCTGTTTTTGGCAACAGTTGTATATATTTTAAAGAAGCGCCTGTTTCCTTTCTTATAGAGTTAGAATAAGAGGCATGTATCAAGTAGGAATTGAAATTGGGAACACCTTTAAATAATCCAGGGCATAACAAAACCAATTGTATTAAATTTATTTATGAATTAAAATGCAAACCTATTAAGAGAACCTTAAGTAATTTCTTGTTTTATGTTCATTAATTAGAACTTAATTGGGATAATAATTGGCTCTAGAAACCAAAGCATAATTATTTGCAACTTGAGATATTTTGTGTTTTTTCCTTTAGCTCTATGCTATCACTAAATTGTTCATATCTGTGGCAACCTTAAAGAAGCTAAAACTTGAGTGATACAACATTTTTGTTAATAATATGTACCATATTACACATTATTGACCCAGCTGAATTTGTTGAATTCTAAGGAAATCTGCTTAAATTTAAGTATTGAAAAGGATTACTCCATACTGTAACTGTTTCATGCCTTTTATACTATGAATGTAGTCCAAACAGTTTCCAGCATTTTGTTATTCATAAACAAATAATCTTATTTGACTGAACGGGACCAAAAGATGTTACAGAAGTCCTTATTCTAATGCTATATAAATCTATTTTGTAACCTCTGTTCATACTTAATGTAGGTATTTTGGCCTGTGTTAAAATTGTGAGAACATCTGTATGTGGGCGCATTTGCATGTATAAAACATGCACTGGAAAATGTTTAAATATATGTGGATAACGTGATTAATCTATATAACTTGTACATATGAGGATTTTGACTGGACTATAAACTACAAATTATGATTAAAACATTTATATTTCCAATTGTCAAAATAAAACTTCAGGAAAAGTGTCTTTCTACTGCCTGATAAAGCTCTTTTTAATGGATCTAATTCAGGGTTTGACTGTCTGCATTTATTATGCAGGTAATAGCTTATATTCATTTTATACCATGTTTATGCTTTATTTGAATTCTTGTTCCTTATTTAAACTTGTTGATCTTTTCAAAGACACACAAAATAGCTAGAAGGTGGAAGATCAATTTCTTGCACTTGTCCCATATCCTTGAATGTTATGATATTTGAAAAGCTCATCCAAATTTTTTAAAAGTTGTATGATTTCTGGCCTCTACTGCCTTCCCAGCTAATGTATTCCAGACTCCCATCATCTGTAGAGTGCAAAAGTTTTTTCCCCAAATCCCATCAATCTCCTGCCCCTTACCTTAAAACTATGTCCGCTTGTGATTGACCCCTCAACCAAGGGGAAATAGCTGCTCTCTTCTCATTCAGTCCATACCTCTCATAATCTTATATACCTCAATCATGTCTCCTGTCAGTCTCGAAAGAAAACAGTCCAAGCCTATCTAGTCTCTCCTTACAGCTCAATTTCACAATTCCTGGCAACATCCTGGTGAACCTCCTAGGTAGGCCCTCTAGTGCTATCACATTCTTCCTTTAGTGAGGTTTGTAAAATTGCATACAGTACTCCAGTTGCTGCCTAACCAATGCCCTGTACAGCTCTAACATTACCTCCTTGCTCTTATATGCTATGCCATGATTGATGAAAGCGAGTGTCCTATATGCTTTCTTAAATATCCTATTCACTTGCCTGCCGACTTCAGGGATCTATGAATAATTACCCCAAGATTCCTCTGTTTCTCTAAGCTACCCGCTATCCTGCCATTCATTAAATACTCCCTCATCTTGTTTCTTCTTCCAAAGTGTATCACCTCAAAATTATCAGGGATAAATACCATCTGCCACTTGTCTGCCCATCTGACCAACCCATTTATATCTTCCTATAACTGACAATCATGTTATTCACTCGTAACCACTCTACCAATCTTGGTGTTGTCTGCAAATTTGCTCAATATTCTCCCAACATTTTCATCAATGTCATTTATGTATATAACAACAATAAGGGCCCCAGTACTGTGGTACACCGCTTGACACCGATCTCCAGGCTTCAACCACTACTCTTTGTGTCCTATTACTAAGCCAGTTTTTGACGCATCTTGCCAAGTTTTCCTCAATTCCATGTGCTTTAACCTTCTCAATAAGTCTCAAATGTGGGACTTTGCCAAAATCCATATAAACGACATCAACTGAACTTCCCTCATTCACACACAATAAAAAAAATTTGAACAAATTTGATCGGCGTGACCTTCCTTTGACAAAACCATGCTGACTACCCCTAATTAATCCATGCCTTTCCAAGGGGGTATTCGCTCCTTCAGAATTTTCTCCAATAGTTTCCCTACCACTGACATGAGACACACTGTAATTTCCTGGTTCATCTCTACCACCCTTCTTGAAAAGTGGAACCACATTAGCCATCCTCCAGTTCTCTGGCACTTCCACCATGGCCAGAAAGGAATTAAAAATTGTTGTCAGAGTCATTGCAATTTCCTTCCCTACCTCCCACAGCAGCCTGGGATGCAATTCATCCAGGACAAGGGATTTGTCAATTTTTAAGCCCAACAGAGAGTCCAATACCTCCCCATTTCAAACTGTGCAAGTTCGTCATAGTCCCCTTTCCTGAAATCTGTACCTCTGTTCTCCTTTTCCAGAATGAAGATTGAGGAGAAGTAGTCATTTAACATGAGGATGAGTTCTTTTAGAGGATTGTGCATTTGTAGAATTCTTTACTGCAGTGGACTGTTAAGAGGTTTAAGCATACTCAAGGGTAAGTTATAGGGAAAACAGGAAGGTGAAGTTGAGGGTTATCAGGTCAGGCATGATCGCATTGAATGGCATACTTCTGCTTCCAAATCTTTTGGTTTTATGAAATTGTTACATTGGTGTATAGCGGTCATTATGTTAAAATTATTTAAAATTGGAGTCCATCTGCCGAAACAACTTTAGTAGCCTCTTCAAAGACCCACAAATTACCCATTAGTCGAAATTCAGAATGGTGATTATTCACTGTAGAATCCTGGTCAGTTTTTTGGGCAGGGTCAGCTTCTAGCATGCTTTTTAACTTGTGTAAGTAATTACAAAAGCTTGATTTGTACTGGACTTATTCAAGCTTGAAATTCCTTGATTCTTCTGTGCTAGTTAATTGGTTAAAAGTGAATTGCACAAAAAAAATGTAGAGCCATGTGGAATTCCTGCCTGTTTAATACCGTTTTGAATTTGTTGATTGTATTTTGTATGATTCAGTTCATTCACTGCTTAACTATTGTCCGAATGAAATTCATACAAGAGTTTTCTAAATATCCTCTGTACGTATTATTAGGCCTGTAAATTGTACAAAGAACTCCTAACCTTGCCAACCTGTTACATGCAGGATAGAAGTATGCACTTTAATTGAAAATTATTAGGTCAGAAGTCACATGACACCAGGTTATAGTCCAACAGGTCTATTTGAAACCATAAGATTTTGGAACTTCACCTGACTTGAAGTGACTTCACCTGATGAAGGAGCAACGCTCCAAAAGCTTGTGATTTCAAATAAACCTGTTGGACTATAACCTGGCGTTGTGTGACTTCTGACCTTGTCCACCCTAATCCATCACCAGCGCCTCCACATCATGAAAATTGTTGGATTGATAAATTTCTGTTTCTATACATAAAGAATAAATCTCTCTCAGGAAATGTGACTTCTGGAATTAGATTTAGATTTAACGTGATTTAAAACATTTCAGATTAATGCACACAGCAACTTAAAATGTCAAATATTTGAAAATGAACTTATTCCTAGAAAGACAATCAGCTTTTGGAATAGCTTTTTGATACTGCTAATTTGAAGGATACTGCAGTATAATGCTGTAGCAGAAGGGAATGTTGATCTTTTAAATAAAGCTGTCGTAAGACTTGGCAGAATTGAGCATAATAACAAATGTAGTTGCTGAAAAGCCAAGGAAAATATTTTTGTGTGAGGTTTGTTTTCCATTAAACTGAGATATACCTGACGAAAATGACATCATTGGTGATAAGATGGCATGTGCCCCTGTGTTTCTTTGATGATAGCCAGCATTAGTCTTATCAGAAATCCTTTTTTGAGCCCCAACAATCACAGAAGAAGGCAAATATATAACATTATCTGCTGTAGTTTTCAACAGCATTGCATAGTTAAGATTAATGAAGTGTTCTCAAAGTAAGGTCATATTTAAAAAATAACACTTTGAGATATATAACTTTTCTTTCTGCTTTCCTGTTGCTCATCCGCAATAAAGCTGTTATATTTCTTCCAAGCTTGTTTGTGTCCATATGAAATTTATGCTATTTATGCAACTTTAAATATCCTCAGATATGCAAAATTGCTGCAATTACACCACAGCCAAGATTAAAGCTTTGAAGAAATATTTTTAATGAAAGTATTCTGGTGAGTGTATGTGCTTACTAAGATGTAGGATAACAGTGCTTGCACTCCCAAAACTGACATTGATCACTTCCAGAGCAGCAAGTTTTGTTTTGATGTGCTCTAACCATTGGCCTGATTCCAACATCAAGAGCGCCATCTACTGTGCAAATGTAAATCTAATTTTCTACAGTGCCCATTCTTACACTGAGAGATATGCTACAGCACAGAAAAAAGAAATTTGGCCCACTATGCTTGTACCAACTATTTGAAAGAACTATTCAATTAGTCCTACTCACCCTGCCCTATACCTAGTGACATTCACATTTTTATTCTTTCAAGAGTACCAAACAAAAGTAGCCAATGGAGGAAGATCCTTGGCCAACATTCATCTCAACTAATTATATCAAAAAAAGATTAACCAGTCATTTGTCTATTCCAGTTGCAAGACCTTGCAGTGTATAAATTAACTTCTGTGTTTGTCTATGTAGAAACCGTCACTACAAAGCAAAAGCAATTTTGAAATATATTTTGGGACATCATGAGGTCATGAAAAATGCCATACAAATGTAAATTCTTTCTTTTAATACGAAGAGTTGGAATGGTGTATAGGTACGAAATGTTATATTCCTATGATTATATTTTTCATCCACTGCTGAACAAATTTCTTTGGCGTTTACAGCTGAAAACAATATTTAGGGTTAATTATATTTAACTAAATACATGTTTCAGTGTAGTTGATTTTAAGTCCTCTCTCCTTGCATGCCCATTATAAACTTGTGCCATCTTAGTTACTGATATCTGAGTCATATGACTAATTCCAACAAAAAAGATTTATATGAATATAAATACACCACATCTCCCCTCTAGTTCCTTTCTGTTTGGTGTCAATTGTACCCAGTGGGGTTTTTTTAATTAGATAGTCTTGTAATTATTAATATCATTTATCACTATTACTATGTTATTTACATTTCACTTCCAATCTCCAAAACTCTCAAGTTGAAAGAATCTGAAGCTCTGACTGAATGTCCTGAATTGGTTGAATGGAATTCAGAACTAGGGTTATAGAATTGTATGGACTATGTAATAGTTTTATCACTCTGAACACCATCTGATATACAATAGGTGTGACTTCCATATCTTGTGATAATCATACTTGGTCTAATTTCTGGCATCTGATAAGATCAATGCTTTTCTGTGTCCCCTGAATGTCGCTTTGCACATTCTGACAATATAAGATATTGACGTTTTTTTAAAAAAAATTCATCTGTGAAATCTGACTTTTGTCCCTTATCCAAACTTTCTGCTCTGGGTTTAAGGTTGACAGATTTCTCACCTTGTGTCTAAAAAAGTACCACCACTGGTTTTTGCTGTTGGTTTTCTCTATTTATTTTACATTCTTGTGGTCTTGAGAGGTTATGTTTGGCTTGAGATTGTGTTCTAAAATTGGTCCTTTTATTTGTAATCTCCATTCTATGAATAATTCTGAATGCGAGTACCTATTATTCAATGACTTTGCACTGTAAGTGAGTGCAGCTAATTTTCAATCTTGACTGAGGATAGA